ATGTTCTGTTCACTACCAGTCTAAACTATGCCACTTACAGAAAGCCCTGTAACTGATCAATTCTGCCTTAGGCATTTTGAATGTCTGTACCTAGCTTCAGTAACACCATTATTAGGAAGGCAGTGCAATTTAACGGTTAGAATAGGGGTGGAAAGGATAGTGATTTGGAGATTGTCATGACCTTGCTGCAGTTTCAGTTTTTCTAGGAATCATTTTTCTTCTCTATATCTCTGTTTCCGTATACATCAAATAAAAACAATGATTCACTACCTTTGTGTATCATATTCAGATACTCTGGTTAAAGACATTACATATTTTTGTAACCTATTAGAAGTATGAGAGAGCTGTAATAATATTAAGTCTATTTGATAGTAGAAAGAGAAACCCAATTCTACTTATTTATTAGAAACTGATAACATTTAAAACAACCTGCTGCAAATAGTAGTTGAACACAAAATGACCTCCAGTGTTTTGGCCTGGTTCTATTTGTTTGGTTTTTGCAGTACAGTCCTGTTTAAATACTTGTGTTGCTTACTTAATGGTTGGAAGAGCCATAGTGTTAACATTACTATTACCAAAATAATTATAATCACAAAATATATTATACAGCCCTTTCTATACTTTATGTGAATTCTGTGACCAATTTTTTTTTAAATGTTAACACAGAATTAATTAGCTCAAGCTTTTGAAAACCTGAAAATGATGAAGAGTTTAAACTTGATATTCTGGCAATCAGTAAATACTGAATCATCTGTTCTTGCTCTCACTTGTCACATCCAAATGAGCATTGATATTGTATTTCCTGGGGACAAAAAGCAGCAGCACACCTTGTACCTCTGCTACTTGTCCTTGGGGAACACCATACCATGCAGTATCTGGTGCACAGCAGGTTATCCTGGGTGAGGTAAGGGAGGCTGGGGTCAGCAACTGTGCTGTCCCCAGAAGCCTTACCTGAGGTCCGGGGAGCTGGGGAAGCTGCAGCCATGGTGCTCCTGCAGCTTGGAGCCTGGCCAGCAGTCACAAAATGTAGTTCTTGAGGGCCAGGCTCCAGTTTTCAATGGTGCATGCTGCAGCCACATGCACTGCCCTGCTGATTTTCCATATGGGTTTTTTTTACCCCAGGATTTCCTGGGACGAACCCCACTCAACCCTGCAAGATAGCAACATGAGAAACACCTGAATGTGCGGTGTGTGGCACACCACATACCTTAGGTTCCCACTCTTCTGGATCCGGCCACTATGTTCACGGTGCTAAGTATAGTTGTACAGAATAAAAATAGTAGTTGAAGCAGCTTAATCAAGTTCATCATCATCATCAGTTGTTGATTGCAGCATCTTGTTGGATTGGGCAAGATTCTGACTCCATTCATCTTTTTCTTCCTTTTCATCTTCTTTCTGCTATAATTTCCTTTGAGGTACTCACCTCTTGTAATAATATACATCATCTTTATATCTTTATTTGATCTTCTCTGAGCTGTTTGTAGGGAACTGCCTTCTCGACCTGCATTCTCAACATTTTGGGGGCATCGTGTCCTCAGAAATTCTTTTCATGTGCCTAAATCACATCAAAATATCTCTTTCTACGTGCATCTTCCAATTCCCCTGATTCAGGGAATCATTCCTCACTTGATCTTTTGTTAAATTTCTAACAATTGCACTTAGAAAGCTCATCTGCAGTTTATAATCATCTAAGTCCTCAAGTCTCTATACCATACAGTGCAACATGATGTAATAAGTCCTGCACATCACTAACTTTGTTTCCCTTTTATAGAAATCTTTAAGGTGTCTATTTAAAAGTTTCATGAATGTTACAAACTTCTTGTCAGTGTCTATCCACTCCTTCCATCACTTGTGAGCACTGAACCAATTTAAATACTTTGAGTACATTTAGCATGTTTTCTTAAATAACTGTTTCATTTATGGCATGCATTTTTCCCTACAGCTCTTGTTTCATTGTTATCATTAATAATATTTAACCCAAATTATTCCATCAAGATGGCATTGCACTTTCCTGTACTTCCATCATAAATCATCACACCACCAGTGAATATGGCCTTCATTCCATTTGCTGTCTTCTTCACTCTGCAGAGAACACCTTTAATAAACACATTTAAATGTCATTTGGCAGAGCCATGCTGCTTATATAAGGTAATCTAAGAAGGTGAGATTGGGGTGAGCTCCATATCTGATTCTTATATATATGGTAGAAGGAAATTGGAGCATGTGGACTTTGATAAGTGCAGTATGCTTACTTCAGTATCATCCTGTGAGTTCATACAAAGCCCTTCATGCAGATTGTGTCCCAGTCCCATGTGTGAGATAGTCCCTATGAATGGGATCCAACCCTGAACCAACCCCACATGACTCATCCAGGCCGAGAGGCTAAAACTTTGGTTACCATAGAGATTTGGCAGTTTCCTGAAGACAGCCAGTGGACCCCACTATTTTTTGTGCTTTCTCTTAGAATGTTGTTCCATCAGCATTCAAAAATAAGAAATTTTTGCTTCTGGCACTTCATGGCTCTGACATAGGTAATGATGCTATTCCATTTCTTCAGCTGGATCTTTGGAGATGGTACCTCACTCTACCATCCCTCTACCAGGCAGGATTTAAATACATAGATGCTTGAAACACTGTGGCTGAACACAAACCACATCATTCTATAAGCGCACACAGGCCAGATCCTGATGTACAGGCACACAAACCTCTGCAGCATCACAGACTGCATGCCCAAATGTACCCTGCACTGCAGATTTGCTAGCAGGAAATCCCAGTAGCAAATAATGCTGTGAAAAAAGGTGGTGTGACAAAGACCACAGGAGCACATGCCAGGAGACATGGAGGCTCAGTCCTCCCAGGAGGTACTCTGGTTTCTGGCTAGAGTATCTCCCCTCCTCCAGTTCTGCCCCGGCTCCTCCAGCACTCCCCAAAGTTTCCTCAAAGAAGGGCATTTTGCCTTGCGCCAAAGTGCACGTTCAGGGGTGTGCACAGCAGCAAAAGGTGGCTGCACAAATTTGTGCTGCTATTTTTTTGCCACTTCAAGTGCATAGCCCTGCATGTGTGGATGCACACACACAGTGCTTAAAATTTGTCTTGCTTGTTTTGTTCAGGAGGTACAGCTTTCAAAGAAAGAAACAAAAAGATAACCTAACATACCCATTACCAATTTACTCAGTCAGAGAGTCTGCATTCTTCACTCACAATGCATTTGTACATATGCTTGTGCCACAGCACCGGGTGCTTTTTAAAGAATAGAATAAGCCCATGATTGTAAAATTTCTTTCCCAAAAACATTACAAGATGTCCCAAATCTCTCAAACTTCAGATCAAAGGGCAGAACCTATTTTAATATTTCCCTTCCCTAGTACATAAAATAAATACATTAATTTAATTTAATTGAAAAAAAATAAGCTTACTGCCAGTACATAGAATGAAATAAGAGAGTTTTGTAAGTAAGCTTTCTAAAGTATTCATATTCTGTGATGATGAACAATAGATAAATAAATGACTTGGGCCTAAAGCTAAAACCTTGTCTGTATCAAAAACTGTAAATAGCATTATCTGAAGCACAATTATGTTTTTGGAGAAAGGCTAGGGTCTCGGTGGATAATATGAGATATTGTTGCATGATGAACCATCTGGAACAACAGACTCCAAAATGTCACATATCACAGTAAGGCCAAATATCATGTAATGTTTGCATTGAATACACTGTCAAATCACGCTTACTGTCACCAGTGGGGTTAGATTCCATAAGAAAGCAGTAAGAGCTGTAGTATTTAGTGGAATTTATTATGCAAGCCAGTGAAGTGAAAACTACATAGCAGCACAGCCAAAAAAAACCTAAAAACCAACTGGCCTTTAACTGAGATGTCTGACAAAATACTGAAGTCATTCTGACACTTTGAAAATGCAGTTTCCATCCTGTTCTGTTTTCACATCCATGACACCATAATAGAATTAAATAAAAAATGTTAAACTGTCAATGGTAGGTTGCTTTAACACATGACTTTTTAATGAATACTTTCAAATCTAATTCATTTTTTACTTTCAAGTATGTTATATAAACTCAAGTAGGAGACAATTCTATGTAGCTATATGCCTGTGAAGTATTGCATCCATTTTTTAAACCCTTAACTTGAGCTCAGAGAAGTCTCCCAAAAAGTCTCTAAATCATTACCTATTTGGGTGTTCTTTGAGGACACATACAGCTATGTGCACAAATATTCATCCTATCCATGTTTGCAGACTTGTACTTATAAGGGGAAATATATTGAAATGAACAGGCATGAGTTTTTAAAACTACTTTCTCTTAGTCCTCTTTGCCAAGAGGACCAACCTTAAATGCATAAAACAATTGAAATCAAAGCAGTGATGCCTTAAATGACTTACTCATCTCAGTGCAATGCTAGTCCAGATTACTTGGGATGGTAATTAAAATATTAGTGGTATTGGCCATTTAGTTTCTGATCTCATAGAGCAGAGGAAAAGCTTCCTTCCTCGTTTGAGAAGTTGCAGGTTTTCTGTTACTTTAGTTTGGTTGGTTGGTCACCTCCTAGCAATAAACCTTCCTTTGTCTCTGTAACTATATTTTGGCTAAGTAGATTTTGTTGCTTGATTGATCTGGGCTTTCGTTACCAGGAAATTAAAACATGGAGAAAGTCTCCAAAGAAAAGGCAATATATATAGTTTTTATATATCAAATATATTATTCTAGTTGTAGAATATAAAAATGACATGGCAAAACATGCCGATACAATATACATGAGTTAGCATCTTTGGGTATAAATAATTTGGAAATTTTAAAAGTACATTGAACTGTGGAATTTAAATATGTTTGAATCTAATATTGAGCAAATGGACTATGATTTTAATTAATTTGTGATACTGGTTAATGAAACCAGCATTATAAAACTGTAAAGAGAGCTTATAAGAAGAGTAGAGAGTAGTTATTATCTATTTATCTATATTTTTAAATCTTTTATGTTTACATTTTTCAGCTGTAGGCCTTGCCGCTTGTCCAGAACCAGTAATTCCTAGCAATGGCATCAAAACAGGAGATAGATATATGGTGAATGATGTTTTGTCATTTCAATGTGAGCCTGGATACACCTTACAGGTACGGCTTTTTTTCTTTCCCATATCAGGACTTTACCCCCAGTACCTCCAATTTGAGGGTATTATGTGCCCCAAATGATTAGATTCTGCAAGGGCCATATGAAGCAATTCAATTGTAGTTCAAAATCTTGTACAAATATTTACACATGATAGACAAGATAACCAAGAGATTTCAAATAAGGATCCATAATGTCAAAAACATTTTGAACTTCTGTGGTTTTTCTGAGTTTTTTTTTCCAATAGAATTGCTCTATTATTTTTCCTTAGTCAAAACACAAGTGAAATTAGTTTTGAAAATGGGCACTGCTAAATTCTGAAAAGTTATGGCTGTTAGTCAAAAATGTGAAACCACTACTCTAAATATTGCTCTACTATTCAGTCTACTTCTTTTCCCACTGTTGAGAAACCAGAGTTAGACTAAGATAAATAACCATTTCTTGCTCTTCTTCATACTAATTATTTTGTTTAGTTAAGTGAACACATGCAAATGTATTACTATATGATAATTTTATTTTCGTAAATAAGAGATGTGTTCATTATGAAATAAGCTATGTGAAACGGCATTAGTATTCTATGAATATCACTGTCTTTCAGGATGCAAAATGTCTGTTTCAGTGATTAAATTCTTTTCTCCAGTCTGTTGCTTTGATTTGCTCAGTTGCACTTTTGTCATTATGACGACTAAATATTTTAAAATAAAAAAATAATAAAAAGTTCCCGTCAAATGCCATGGTTCATTCTCTGCTAGTTCACATTTTCTTCCCCTGAGCTCTCTGACTTCCATATAAATACTGAATTCAACATTAACTATGGAGCTAGGTTTGACTCTAAAATAGTGTTCTGTTTTTATATATATCCTGGAAGGTGGTAAAGTAAGGGTCTTCCTTTGGCAAATCCTACAGGAAATATTTGAATATGTTTCAGAAGTTTAGACACCTACATCACAATGTAGCAATTCTGCACTTAGGGAGAGTATAAGTTTTTATGCATCTCAGCATGTGCTTCCTTGGCAAGTGTCAGTAGAAGATCTGTCACTTAACCAGGACTTCTTATTTAAAAATAGTCTTCAGATATTAAAAATAAATAAAGCAAAAATAAAATACATTTCATACAAGGCACAATGGGCCAGATATTCAGGAGGTATGGTTCATCATGTGAAAACTCAGATGAGGACTGATTTTTAATGGCCTTCAACAAGAAGCCACACAACTCAAACAGCTGTCTTCAGATGCGTAGGAGGGGTAAATGCAAAATTGCAAGGTTGAGTATGGGCGCACCTGCATGAGATGTTTACTGTGGAACTGCCTAATTAGCTCCACAGTAAAGTCTCAGCATCTACACATGTAGCCCTGTTAGGCGGCAGTAAATTAACAAACACCGCCCAAGGTTAGTACTTGTCAACACAAGTCCTATCTTATGGAGACATTATTTAGTGCACTGCAGCTCATGTAGATGCTGATGGGGCTGGCTGGGCCATGAGGGTGCTTCAATGCAGGGGCTGCCTGACAGCTAGCCTCGTCCTGGAGCCCACTCATGGCCAGCCACCCCCTCTGCAGCAAGTTGAACCAGGTCGTATCAGCACCAGGCTGGCAGACTGACTCCTTCCCCAGTCTCTTGCTATCCAGGGCTGCTCCAACCCAGCTCAACATGCTGCAGTCATGGGAGCACATGGAAATGCAGTCCCCAGGAGTAATAAACTTCAGCGTGAACTGAGCCAGAGTTTATTCAATCACATTAATAGCACATGTAGATGTGCCCTATATGGCGTAAGAAGCTATATCCTGAACAATAAAACAATGATATAATGTGTATATGTAGGAAGAGGTTCTGAGTCAGGGGAGAATTTAGCTTTTAACTTTCAAAATCTCAGCTTCATTCTTCCTGAATTTGCTAGGTAAATTGGATAATTATTATCTCCCAGTGGTGTTCTTTAACATCAGAGGAGTCTGAAGGGTGCAACTTTTGCATCATATTTTATCCAAAGTATTTAATATGACCTTAGAATAAAAAGTCAATATCTTCATTCTATTTATAACTATTTTGTTTTTTAAAATTAAAATCTAAATGCCTAATTTTTCTAGTTATCTCTTTAATCTTTTCTTTTCCCTTTTAATTGGAAAATATGTTTTTTTTTACTTTTAAATTAAAAATAGATAATGAAATATGTTGATAAAAACATTAAAAGAAAACTTCCAAAAATTTTGTTTCAAAACTTCCAGACAAAAATGGATAAATGAATTATTACACAATATGAAAAGCAAAAGCTTGCCTAGTCCATATATTTTCAAGCGAGCATAATTATGTTTTAATCAATATAATAGCAGTTTCTACTGACAACCAAGTATGGCATCCTTTAATACAAAACCTTGAATGTTCTGTCTTTCCATGTTTTGAAGCAGTAATATACAGTCTTCCTGTTGGAATAATAAAACTTTAATGAGTATTATACTGTTGGTACATTTGGATAATATGAAAGAAACCAGTTAAGTGTCTCTCCCAGCAACAGTTTCAGATAGGAAGTAGAAAAATTAGACCTGACTCTCAGTCCCGTGTTGTAGTCCATAAATCAGTTTTTTTAGTAATAAATACTCCATTTTTACATTGTTAAAGCCATGGTAGATCCATTTCCAAGGAAGTAGGAGCTTCTCACATCTTGGGTATTCCTTACTCATTAGTGCTGCGATCAGCAAAATTAAACTGTAAGTTTGTTAAAAAGGACAGTTACTTAATCATTTGAAAAATAAATTTTACAAGCATCAAAATATCTCTTCTGTTAAAATGATGAAACATGCCTGAACAATTAGGAAACAATCTTAACCATACAGTTCACAAAATTCAATTCCTTTTAAGTTATAGGTCTTATTTAAAATATAATTCCACCTGTATATCTAGAGTTAAACTGAACTTCAAAATATGAGTGATAACCAGGGATCCTGGTTTTCTGTGATAAAAAAAATCACCAATTTTCAGGTTAAAAACAAGTAGCCCCAAATCTACATTTTCCTGTGACTAAAGTGAAGTGCCACTAATACATAGATATATACATAGTGGTATTTCATTTTGATCATGGAAAAATGTGGATTTTGGGTTAGTTTTTTTTTAACCTAAAAAATGTTGGTGTGGAGGGGGTGTAATCAGAGAAAAAACAGGTTCCCTAGTGATAACCTATTACAAGGAAAGTTTATATTGAACTCTGTGCATTTTACATGAAACTGAGGCTCCTTGATAACAAAAGTGATAATATTGTTGCTTTTTCATTCATGAGAGAAATGTAATGTTATTTCTTCGTTTGTAATTAAGGCTATAGAACATTTATTTCATTTACCTTTTGTCCTAATGATAGAGGAAAAAACACTAATATCCCAGACTGAACTGGAAATTTAGTGTATTTCAAGTTGTTGTGTATGAATGCATAAAGGGTAACCAGTAGGGTAAAGGGTAACCAACTGTGGTATTTAGTGGGATATAGATAGGTGACTTAGTGGGACTCACAAAATCCTATTGAAGTCAATGGGATTTGTGGGATGAGTGGGATACATGATAAAATTGCTTGAGATATAACAGGAGACTGGATTGGGAGACCATTGATTAGGGTGACCATATTGTGTTTTTAAGAAAATGCAGGACACTGTTCCCTCCCCACCTCACAAAGTCAGCCGTCTTGCTGCAGGCAGAGGCAAATGCAGATTGGCAGGAGTGCAGGGCACAGTCCAGCAGGGGCAAGCAGTGACATGCTGTGGCAGGCAAGTGGGCAGGCAGGCACTGCTGCTGCTGCTGTGCAGGAGGCAAGGCAGGTGGACGGGAGCAGGTACCACCACCCCTGCATGTGCCCAGCCCAGCTCCTCCTGAGCAGCAGCTCCAGGGGCACCACTCCAGTCCACCTGCTTTGCTCCCACACAGCAGCAGTGGTGCCTGCCCTCCCGCCAGCCTGTTGCACCATGCCACTACTCTCCACCAGACTGAACCCCATACCCCTGTGATTCTGGGACCTCTATTTTTTACCAACCAGCTGGGACTGGCTTATGAAATCTGGGACTGCCCCAGCCAAACTGGGACATATGGTCACCCTACCCTTAATGTCCCTTCCAGTCCTATATTTCTATAAGTCCCCATAATTACTTAAATCTTTTCTCACTTTATATAAACAGGGCCGTTCTCATATTTCTTGTATGCCTGGAACAGTGCGACGTTGGAACTATCCATCTCCCCTCTGCATTGGTATGGATGCATGTATTCTGTATATGCTGTAGTGCCCAAGATAGGCAGGGGACTTTTGGTTAAGACAAAATGTGTGGTTCCTCACTGAGAGTGGAGTGCTTCCTTTCTTCCTTTTATCTACCACAGTTTATTTAGAACTGTTTGGGTTTTTTAGAAGTTTTTACATCCACCCTTAAAGAATAGTCTCCTTTTTGATGCCCGATCAGTGTATGACTATCATTTTATTTATCTAATCACCAAAAGCTGTCATTAATTTAAAAATGATTCTGGACACAAATTATGAGACAATGTGACAGCATGCTTCACATTTGCCTCAGTCCTCCTGACGTTCCTTCCCATCCTAATTTTCTGTGATTCAATGATTCTAAACAAGTTAACTTACAAACACTTGATAAATTCCTGTTGTTTTGAGTTGGTAAAGGATTAACTACTGAGGAGACAAATTCATCCAAATCAATAGTATATGTTAAAAAAAAGAAATAAAAAAGAAAAGAGATGTAGGAAGTTTTGACCTTAGGCTTTACCTACCATTTAATATTTTGTTAAATTTCTACTCCTTAAAAGTCTGTTGAACATTTTTTTTCAACTCTGTGGATTTTTTTTTAATTGCCTAAATATAGTTATTTAGAATGCTGCATATATTCTGCCTTCTAGTAGTTCAAAAGGAGCTATATTTTCTGTAGAGGACAATATTTTTTGCATTTATCATTACAAGAAATAGTGATGTTTGAGACATTTTCCATTTTCTTTTCATGAGCTTTCTCCTCCTTCAGTTAATTTGACAAGTAAACTACTTAAGAGACCCTTCTTAGTTTCCCAGTATAACTCTCATAGTTCATTCTACAGTCCCTGAAATATTTGGCATGTGGTAGTATGAAGTACTGTGATAGTACAATGTTCAAACAATCGACAAATTTAATCTAGCATTGCAAATTCTCTTCCATACTATCCTCCTTGTAACATGGATAAGAAAAGAATGTGAACAGAAGCATTTCCTTTGAAATTGTTTTTCAGAGTTTAGGATGGGTTTTATGAGCCACAGTAAATGGTGTAAATAGTACTCTCATGAAACAATGTAAGCCCTGAGCAATAGGGCTATGCGAAATTTTGCCAGCAGTTTCGTTTCGACTGTTTCAACTCATTTTGAGCTCAAAACAGCAAAATTGAAATAAAACAGCTTTGAAACAGCCTTGAAACAAAACAAGACAAGTCAAAACGTTTCAAAAATTTCAAAATATTTCGAGTTTTGAAGCTCAAGCTGGGCTTACCTGCAGGGAAACAGAAACTAAAGTAAGGAGAGGGAGGGGGGAGGGAGTGCTCTCATTATTGACAATGTAGCTGGCCAGTACCTGTAATCCTTCCCTGAGGTCTCTTCCAGTCCCAGTGCTCTGGGGGAGGGATGGAAAAACTGCATAAA